TATCATGAATTTTTGAATTTTGGCAGTGCTTCTGAGTAACAAGGGTTAATATTATACTCTACACCATTTACACAAGCAGAATTAGCAAATCTATCTGCCTCCTCATTACCCAATAGACTAATGTGTGATGGAATCCATTGCACTCTTGCACAGATATCGCGTTAGACTGATATAATTTTGAAAGTATGGTATAGGCTATCGAAACACCTTTGATTCCAAAAGCAGATCGAGCCAAATGTTGGATAGCAGTTTTGCTGTCCGAGTATATAATAATTTTGTTCCAGTTATAGCTTGCGACATACCTTAGGGCTTCGGATATTGCAATGAGTTCAAGGGTCATAATATAAGCGTCATTAGTAACTTTATAACATCTAGAAACTGCTCAAGATGAGTCGAAAAAAGCTGTTCCTTGCATCTTAGCACTCTTTGATCCGTCTGTGTAGATTTTATGCCAATCGTGATATTAATTTTCAAGTTTTTCAATAACATTCACTTTAAGAGAATTTTTTCATGTAATTTTTTGGATTGTTTTACAGACTCTAATTTACTTAATAATATATTTTCAATATCAATGCGGGACAACCAAGTGCTAAGCGGAAATGCTTCGAGGAAAGGGGATGATTTTATATTCATAATTTTAGTCTTATTATAAGATTTAACTAATAGTGAGATTTTTTTTGCGTTGCCAATATCTTGTTTCACAGAGAGTGCTAAGTTGCTTCAACAAATCAATTGTAACATTATTCGAAAAAGAGCTAGTTTTTAAAACATATTTATAAGCTAGATATAGTTTTCTAATATACAGTGGAGGTACACTAAGTTCGTTTTCCATTATATATATTGGAGAACTTTTAATAAAATCACCAATAACCCTTAACGCTTTATTTTGTATTTTATCTAATTTTGATAAGTGGACATTAGCGTAATTAACAAATAAAAAACTACCGTAATCTGTTCTACTTCTTATTAACGAAACATACAGCTGACAAATATGTTTGGGATGAACTCCCCACGATGACCCAGACAATACTATTAGTAAATTTAAAAACTTATTACATTTTTCTGTGATCTCAATAATGTGTTTGTTCCAGAGTAGGTTACTATCTAGCCACATCATCATCATCATCATCATTACAGCCCTTCACAAGTCCACTGCTGAACATAGGTCTCCCCCAAAGAATGCCACAAAGCACGGTCCCGAGCCACCTGCATCCATCGACCTCCTGCATATCTTACCAGGTCGTCACTCCATCTAGTGGGGGGACGCCCTACACTTCGCCTGCCGGTACGAGGCTGCCACTCGAGAACCTTTCTTCCCCATCGGTTGTCGGTTCTTCGAGCTATATGGCCGGCCCATTGCCACTTCAGCTTACTAATCCGTTGGGCTATGTCGGTCACTCTAGTTCTACTGCGGATATCCTCATTTCTGAGTTTATCACGCAGAGAAACTCCGAGCATAGCCCTCTCCATAGCTCGCTGAGCGACCTTGAGCTTCCTCATCCGGCCAGCAGTGAAGGACCACGTCTCAGTTCCGTATGTCATCACTGGCAACACGCACTGGGTGTACAGTCTCGTTTTCAAGTTTTGAGGTATACCTGACGAGAATATTCTCGTAATATTCTCGTCAGGTATATCTAGCCACAACCTCAAGTATTTAAAGAAATTTAAGAAAGTCAATGAGCGTTCGTTCATTGTTACATTAGGCAGAAATTAGAGATAGAGATGTACGTAGGTACATTTCAAGTGACGCCGGGACCATGCTGCAAGAAGTTATCTTGACACGTTCTCTCGCACACAGCTTTATTCTCTCTTTCTTCACCAGCCCATTCATTTGGCACAGCCTTGTTTTGACTTAGTTTCATCGTTAGTACGTAAGTTTCTGTTTTCGCAGCGCTCCTTCTTTATTTGTATAAATTGTGTATAATAATAGTACATTATACATTTATGATGTGAATTTGTGCGTGAGCTTCTGAAAACTTAAGTATTTTAAATAATAAACTGTAACTTTTGGGAGAAAAATAGTTTACTTGTGAGTTTCTTGTTACTTCTTCTCACAAGGTCGACTCGCAGTAGGATCTTGTTGAAGAAATTGCGTAGCATTTGACTTTCAAAAAGTGCTTTGTAGAAGCCAGTTTAAAAAAATTAATTTTGATTTTGAATCTCAACAAATTCTAGCACCTGCAGTATATATTGAATAAATGTAAATGTCGATGGGCCACAGTATCCACTTACCATCAGGTGGATTGTGTTCTCGTTTGTCACCCTTATTCTATGAAAACAAAAAGGTTAGTTTTAGTATATTTAAGACAAACGTAACTCATACAACCTATCCTTTTTAAAACTTTCTTTTAGCCAATGAACAGGTTTTTCTAACTTCTAACATGGAAGACCACTAATATCACACTGTACTTAACAGAGCAGTGTCTTATTTAGATTAGGGTTAGGGTTTATATTGTGAAGACAATTTACACTCATAAATTGTACAAAAAATTCCGACGCGCAACAATTATTTGTAGTCGATACCATTTTTTTCTAGCGGGATACAAGCACACGGCACTGTAATGTCGCAGCTGAACGTTAAGCTACTGCGTTAATATTATTCCTACCTCTAATTAATTTATAAGTTGAAATGCATCAAAACTTTTAATTGGCAGGCACACGCTGCGCCGAAAGTTAAAGCAAAATTAATGGCATTATGTCATAAAATGTACTTTTTAACCAAGGTAAGAAACGAACATACAATCCACCTGATGGTAAGTGACTACTACAGTCTATGAACATCTGTAGCCAACTTCAAACAAACAAAAAAACTCTAAGCTACAGATGCGTGGTCACTACTAAGGACTATGATTATACCTTACGGCTTTTAATTCTACTAGCTTTCTATACGTTTGGAAAATAGCAACGCAAGTACTGCCATTTGACGGCAGAAATAGGTAACATGCAACTTGCAACTTTACAAAGCGCAAGTTCGGCCTCACTTGGAATACTGTTCTCATCTCTGGGCCGGGGCATACCAGTGCCAGCTCGTTCCACTTGACCGCATCCTGCGCAGAGTGGTTCGAATCGAGTTCTTTCTGATCGGCTCGATACACTGGCACTGCGTAGGGATGTTGCATCCCTTTGTATTTTCTATCGAATTTACCACGGGGAGTGCTCTGAGGAATTGTTCGGATTAATTCCAGCCGCCACATTTCACGAACGCACATCGCGTCAAAATTCACGATACCATCCTCACCATCTCGATGCTTGGCGGTCCACGATTATGCATTTTACTAGGAGTTTTCTTCCTTGTACAACTTCTCTGTGGCGTTGTTTACCACCGGCGATTTTTCCGGACCGATACGACTTAGGGACCTTCAAGAAAGGACACACGCTTACACTTTTCTAATAGGTCGGCAACGCATCTACAATTCCCCTGGTGTTGCGGTTGTTCATGGGCGGCGGTAGTCACTTACCATGAGGTGAGCCGCATGCTCGTTTGACCCCTCTTCTATAAAAAAAAAATTGATCTACTTAGACGGACTTCTAGCTAGAAAACGAGTCATACAACCTACGAAAACCTTATGTATAAAAATTTACATTAGTATGAAAATTTTCATAATAAGAAATTTACACATACACTAATTATTATTAAGAACACTCAGAATTTATGGTACATTTAAATCTAAATAAATGTTAATGGAAAATCAAGTCAAAAGCCCTCTCGCCCGGGTTTTTCTTATTTATTGTTCAATCTCGAAGCATGTCATTCCTTAGCTCTTTGTAATGCAAATATACGGACGCAAAACAATTTATATGTTAATTTATTTATCGCGGCATAAAATTGTGTTTTATTCTATTTATCTGACCACGTAAATTATAGCCACTGTAAACGTTTATTGTTTTGATATATTTTTTCATGATGTAATATTCTATACTCAAACCACCAAGCAAAGCTAGATGGAGCGCTGCGTACATTTCGAAAAACCATGATCTACTAATGATATGAACACAAATAAAATATATCGACCAAATAAAATATATTCAATATACGGGTATATATGTGCATATTATTTAACACACACACACACACACACACACACACACACACACACACACACACACATATCAGTAACTTTTTCTTTAATATTGTTCTCAATTCTTACAGCCTTATTAATAAACATAGACTTGAGCAAGATTAACCTTACTCCTAGTTTAAAGTTTAAAATAACAAATTTTAGTATTAATAAACATAGAGTAAGGAGGGAGTAAACTAATCCGAATCTACTGTCGGAATAAAAGTTAATCCATGGCAATACATAGTTTAACGACGGAGTAAGCATAGTGATTAGACGCGTATTTTGACATTTTGTAAAACTTTTCGCACGTTGTGGCTGCCTAAGTTCGTATTTCGTTATTTCCATTAATATTTGTTACTTTAGTTCATTCTCAACAATCTCAAGATGGATAGAGATTATTTCATTGATGATATGAGAGTGATAGATGAAACTAATGAAGTGGTTAATCAGATTCCATTAATAAGACGTGTAAAATTTTATAAAATTCGTAACAATCCACTGGAAGAACTTCAAGAAGCCGAATTTAAAATTAAATACAGATTTTCTCACGGTACTGCCGTTTTCCTTATTGACATGGTGAAAAATGATTTGGCCGGTGATTCAAGAGTATTCAGTATGTGGATTTAGATAAGTGATAGGGGCTATTGATTGCACACATATTCGAATCCCGAAAGTCGGTGGAAATATCGGACAATTATTTAAAAAAAAAGTCCCGCTGGGTTTCTTGCTGGTTCTTCCCAGAACATAGGTTTTTTTTCGAACCAGTGGTAATTAAACAAAAGAGTGACTTTCAATAAGTATTATTTATATTGAATAAAAAAGTTTCTGTTTCTGTTTTATTTTTTAAGGATAATTGTATATATTTTTCTTCTTCATATTAATTTTGCTCTTCACATACTTTTCTTATTTTTAAAATTTCTCTTTCGATTATTGCACATTTTAGTTATTATTTATGTATTTCCATTTTAATTGCATGTTCTCCCATTTTAATTGCATGTTCCTCTTCAGCCATTTCCAAACGTCTCTTTGTTCTTCCTCTTTCAACATTTTGCTATGGCTTATCATGTTGTTTATATAGTCATCATGGTTCTGTAAATGAAAACCAGTTATTAAAAAATATTACTGTTAATAAACATAACATACACTACATAAACAGAAAAAGAATAATTTCTTACATAATTAAATAGAATAGGAATGATTGATGAATGAACGAAGTGAGGAATTAGTCTTCTAAAATGTTATAAGCAGTATAGCATTTGCTAAGAAACTAAAGAATAAAAAATGTACTCACAATCCCATCTGAATCATATATATTATGATCCCTAAACACCTCTGCAGGATTCAACAAATCTTTGATTTCTATTACTCCATCATTAGGAGTTGCAGGTCTTGCCCCACCACCTGTTTTAGTCAATTATTTTTTGTAGGTACTGTATTTCTTCAGAGCATTGACCTTCATAGTTTTCCACTGTATTTTCAGCTGACTTAATTGTCGATGTCGGCTATTTAACTCATTAAATCTGTAAGTACAGAAGATGAATCGAAAACAACACGAGGAACAACACGTAACGCGTATTTTTCAACCATTTTCAACTCTTTTCAAGTTGTCAAACTCTAAATATTGCCTGTCACTGTCATTTATGTCATCATCAAGCATTGAGTTCATTCACCAATCATTCACTGACTCGCTCATTTTACTTAATCACAGAGTACGTTTGTATATAGGAAATACGTAATCTCAGCGTAAGGAATGTATTGTTAGTACGAGGTTACTCCATGTTTATTAGTAACATTGTAGTAAAGAAGCTAGTACTCACTTACTCTGAGATTAACTAGTCCAAGTGTAACTGCAAATTAAGCTTGGAATAAGCAATTTTTATTAATAAGGCTGTTTAAGTTTAGCCGTGTAGTTATTTTATACCAAATCCACATACACCTAACACACACAAACCTATATCTAAAATAAATTTTCATTCCTTCTTTAAGGCTTTAAGCCTGAATGACCTTGATGAAATGGCGACCGCAGAGATTTTAGCCGACGTCAACACCGTCTAGTGACTACTTTCTGTATTACTTAGAAAAGTGCAAAGATTAATAGACTGTCAAGTCAATCAATTATGTAAGTTATATTCTGCCTATCATGCTTGCGTGTCACTGAGAATTATGTCGCGGTTAAGCATCTTTAATTACATTGCAAGATGCGGTGCTGTAGCTTCGTCCGATTGGCATCACGAGCTATCAAGTGTTTAAGTTTTAAGTACGTAAGAGTTTTTATTATATTCGTTGAATGGTGCTTATTTGTGTTGTATTAGTAGCTGTGGGTCTAAGGGCTCGATGTAACTTTCGCCCGGGTTTGATCCGCAGCAGTAGCAATGAAATTTTTTATTGTAATTTTAAGTGCTGATTTAGCACGTGCTCGGCAATGAAACACTGTGAGAAAACCTGCATATTATGTCTGAGGAATAAGAAAAAAAAATCGAAGACATGTCAAGTTCGCCAACACGCATTGGGGCAGCGCAGCGGACATTTCCTTGCCCTAAAACCCCCTCAGAAGTAAGAGGCCTGAGTCTAGCATAGCGACTTACATAGGCTGTTACTTTACTTTTATATCGTATACATAATAATATATTCATACTCGTTTCAGATACAGAACGGTAAATAATGTTGACAAATATATCATGTGGAGGCCAAGAAAACGTACAACATCTTTGTATCTAGATAAAATGTTCTAGTGATTGTCAGTCATGTCATATGCCACATTCTTTATAAAGTTTCGAACGTTTCAGATAGGGCAAAATAAAAAATAATACAAAATATTATAGGAATGATTTATTAATAATATATACATTTTTTATTGCAAGGTCTATTCTTAATTCTCTTGTGTACACCAATTTTCACAGTATCATTGTTTATAACTGGCGTGGTTTCCAAAAACATGATTAAGTGTCAGCTCTATATCGTCAATCGGATCCTGAACTTTTGAAAAACTTATTAAAAAATATTTTCTAATTTATAGTTCGGTTATCTAAAAAAGCGTGTTTATTTAGTTTTCTTAAACCATTTCTTCTATTTTTTACTGCGGCAAACTACAAAATTTTCAATCTTTTATTTTTTAGTGCGGCAAACTACAAAAGCAAGTTTTTTTTTGGACCGAAGTTCTTTTACGCGGATTACAGTCAATTGAACTGGCAGATATCGTAGTTATTAAAAACAGGTTGCCGCCGTGTTTGGCATTACAGGTAGGCGGATTGGGAAGGAATGCGGTCTTTCCTTGCATCCTACCCATGGGGGCAGGTTTGCTTCTCGCCGGATTATCCCAGCGCTATTGCTGACTCTGTCACCGATGTGGTGCTACATGTAATGGAACTTTTATTCCATCATCTGTGGTACCTATCGGTTGCAGATCTCAGTCTTGGCTTGGTGGCTCCTGTAAGACTACATTACGCAGTAAGCAGGAGTGTTATCAGGCCTGGGCTGAGGCTTCGGCGGCTCGGGATGTAATTACCAGCATGCTTAAAAAGAAGTATAATTTCAAAGGCAAAGTCATAGCAAATAGCCAGAATTAGCGAGAAACTAGTTCGCCTTTCTTCTGGAACCCATTAATTCTGGTTTCTCGCCAAGGCTGTCCAAGGAAATTTCTGTAAGCCATCGCATCCATCCATTTCTGCACAGTGAGAATGACTCACTGGCCCACGCCGCAAAAGAGAAAGCCGACCTTTTAGGCTCCCTTTTTGCCTCCAATTCGACTCTTGATGATGGGAGGAACATATCGCTGACCATCCCGCGGTGTGAGTACTCTATGCTTTATGTGCGATTCACACAGTGCTCAGTACGCAAAGCACTCCTCTCCCTGGATAAAAACAAGTCGAGTGGGCCTGACGGAATCCCGCCTATTGTGCTAAGGACGTGCGCTCCAGAGTTGGCATCGGTTCTAACGCGTCTTTTTCAGTACTCAGTGGGAGTACCAGGAGTTCGGGTCTAGGCGTTGTCCCGAATTCATGGAAGACAGCTTTTGTGCACCCGATCCCTAAAAAAGGTAACCGCTCTGATCCGTCCAATTACAGGCCTATCGCCATCATCTCTTTGTTCTCGAAAATAATGGAGTCCAATATTAATTTGCCAGCACATGCGGTACCTTGAGGAGCACCAGCTGATTAGTGACCGTCAGTACGGTTCCGTCGGGGTCGCTCAGCTGGTGATCTTGTTGTTTACCTAACACATAGATGGGCGCAGGCGATCAAATTCAAGGGGGAAGCATTGGCCGTTAGTTTAGACATAGCGAAGGCCTTTGATCGGGTCTGGCACAAAGCCTGCCAAGTGTGGCAACTATAGCAAGTACTACTACCTACCTATGTTTACTTTTGATAAGCTGTATTAGTACCGATATTGTTATTGGACATAAATATTAAATGGGACGTTAAATTTATTACTATTGTTTATTCTGCAGTGCGTCTCACAGTAAAGCGCCAGAATGTAAATACCTCGCATTAGACATTACATATGTACATAAGTTACACTGCTACGGTTTAGTAGAATTTGCGATTATATAATTACGGTATCATTATTTCGTTAGTATAGAATACTCTTTTAATGTTTTCACAATATTACACGTTTGTTATTGCTATTCTTTTCGACTGGCATGTTGGTTGAGTGATTCCGGGTTTGAATCCCAGAGGTGTCGAAGATCCTGAAGTCAGGAAATTGGCAATGTTTCACACCAGTGCCTCGAAAAGTACATAAAACCGTTGGTACTGCGCCTGATCTCTCCCCGGTCATATGGGATTTTCGTTACATTGGACTACAAGAGTGCAACAGGGTTTACGCACACACTTCTGATATATAATTCTGACATGAGCAGATGGCTAGTCTCTGTTTACACTGGCCACCATAATTCGATCCTCCTCCGATTTGAAGGTCATTTTTACTCAATGTAATGAAGAATTAATATTCGATGCAACACGTCGATCATATGAACATTGTCATAAATTGAGAATTACGGATTAGAAGAAACGATGCCAATCTAAATCGTCTTATAGTGACGGCGTAAGAAAATCCACGACACCATATCATCCCATGTTTGTCTTAAAGGACGAAAAAAAAATTGAAAAAGGAGATGGGTGAAAAAAGAAAGATGATTCTATCTTTCTTTTTTATAGACTAAGGGTGATAAACGAGCGCACAGTCCACATACAGGTAAGTAGATGCTGTCGCCTATAGAAATCTAATCAAAACTCATGTAGTGGCGGGTAAGAATACTCACAACCCCATATCTACCCGTGAGTGTCATAAGAGGTGACAGAGGGAAACTAAGGCAGGAGATTGACAGCAGTATTTTTTAATAACAGCAAAATAACAATAATCCTTGAATCCGGCAACTTGTTCCATGACGGAGGTGTCGACTTTATTGTCCACAAGTCTCTCGTTAACAAAGTTGTAAAGATTGGGAATGTGTCAACAAGAGTAATACTCAGAATCACAAAACAGTATTTGTTGAAGATCATACAGGCTTACTTACCAACCTCAGCATATCCTGATGAGGAGGTGGAGGAAATGTATGATTATATCTCTTGAGCTATGCATTCTTCTAAAACCTATACGGTGTGAATGGGAGACTTCAACGCAAAACAAGGCACAAGAGAGAACGGTGAACCGAATGTAGGGAAATTAAGGATAGGGCAACCTAACCCAAGCTGTGAGCAGCTGGCCGACTTAATGGAGAAAGAGGCACATTTTACGAGAGCTCTTTCTTCCAGAAACGGGCCCACAGAAGGTGGGCCAGGTCGAGCCCCGATGATTCGACAAAACATGAGATTGACTCTTATTCTCATGACTGATAGATGAGAAATGAAGCATACAGGATACTGAACAGACAGAAATCCTAATGCATGCAGCGGGACTTACTCAACTTCAGCACAGCTCCAACAGAATCCAAAGTATTTGCCAGAGATCTGTCTGCCAGGTAAAGCCAAATGTCGAAGCTGAAGACCAAATGTAGCAGGGCAAGTCTTATCCAAATCTGTTCCGATGATATTTCAAACGTCAGTGTGAGCGAGATAAGAATGGCTCTCCAACACTTTAAGAATGGCAAGGCCCTCGGTGAGTATGGAATTACAGCGGAGCTTATTAAAGGGCGTGGAAAACCGGTACTTGAAGTCCTTTAGAAACTCTTCACTTTTGTCCTCCATGACAGCACTACTCCGAAAGCGTGAAGAAGAAGTACGGTGGTCTTGTTCTTCAAAAAAGGCGAAAATGTTCTCTTGAAAAACTGTAGACCGATTTTCCTTCTGAGAGGCGTCTAAGTGCTGTTTTAGAGAGTCACTGAAAATCGTCTCGCATGCAGACTCGACGACTTTTAGACTCACGAACAAACCGATTTCCGAAAAGGCTTTAGCACCTTTAGACCATATACATAAC